CTGTCTGTCTGTCTGTCTGTCTGTCTGTCTGTCTGTCTGTGTCTGTCTGTCTCTGTCCGTCCGGCCGTCCATCCATCCATCCATCCATCCATCCATATACATACACTCACTGTTTGGCTGTTTTGCATTGTATTATTATTTCTTGTAGTTCCTGTACAGTGGTTTTTCCACAGTGAACAATTTCAGATAAACTCTAAATGACCCTAAATGGCATGTAAAACAATGGTAGCAAGAAAACAATCCAGATGAATTGTGATTTTCATGTCGCTTTTCATGTTATTCAGATTGAGGTTTGCAATGTTGCGTTTACATTTACATTCGTTCTTTTCTTTCAGCAGATGCTTCTATCCAAAGCAACTTACAAATGAGGAAAATCACAAAATTGGTGACTAATATGATTTGGTCATTTTGATAAACGTTAAAGGTGCACTATGTAAGTTTGTCCTCGCTATTGCACTGCTCTTTTACTTGGAAAAATGTATAAATCTAAACATAAAAATAAATCAATAATGGAATTTATTATGGAATTAATGGAATTAAAAAAATTATAATTGCCATTGTGCACCTTTAAATAAACATTTAAAAAGACAAAGGGTATTACATAATGTACATGTATGAAATTATATAAAACAAAATTATATATAGTATAAAATATTTAAAATAATATTTAAAAAAAAACATTTATAGTGCAACTTTAAATTTACAATAAAAAGGCCTTTAAATATGTATATATGTATGACAAAATGAATAAAATTAATACAAATTTTTATTATACATAATATAAAATATTTCAAATAATACACCAAGAATGGGCTGTGGGAATGGTAATAATGGGCATAAAACAAAATTAAAAACCATCCTGCCGTTCTGATTCCACCTACCAGCTCACAAGGTGACTCTGATATGTCCGCTTCTGACTCTCAACACACACACACACACGCACACACACACACACACACACACACCTGCTTGTAATACCAAGCTACTCGACTCAACCCCATTAGAGCTGATTGAGTCACTAGCATGATGAACCCCAGCTTGGGTTTCCTCTTTGACCCTTATTTATATTTCATCTAACATCATTCAGTGAGGATCAGTGGAAACGCATCATGTACCATTCTGCTCATGTATCCAATTGCAGAATGGAGCTCATGCTGGTGAATCAGGCCCCTGCCAGTGTGATACAGTCTGATAACAAAGCCTCTACGTAGGCAGAATTTTAAGGCATCAAAGGCGTGCTGTTCCATAAGGTTTCTTTTGTACATTTTTTTTGGCAGCAGCATTACATGTTTCCTTCAAAGAGAAAGCAATCCCATAATTCATTTTAATGATCACAGTGAAAAAAAAGCCATCCAAGATGGTGAAGTCTCTTGGGTGCCTTGTGTGAGTTGGGAAAATATAAGATGCTGCCTATGAAGAGTATTATAGAAAAGTTGTTGTTCTTAAATCAACATCTTTGTTGGTCCTGGAGCAACATTGCTATAGATCATTTGATCATTGCTGTGATCGAAAATGCAGCATTAGGGATTGGTATTCATTAAACTATATCATCATCATCCAGTATTTTCTATAGGTAGGTTCTAGTTAGTATGAAAGCTCATGTCCGCCATGGAATAAAAAAAATAAAGAAAGATAGAATTCTGAATTCTGAGATAAAAAGTCACAAATGCCTTTTATCTCATGGCGGAAACAGCCTTCCATAAGTTAGAAATTGGGTTTGGCCTTTAACCTTTTGTCAGGAATGTTGACCCATAAACATTACTGTATCTGCTTCATAAATAAAACAGCATTTTCAGACAGGAGTGAGTTATCAGAGAAAGGACATGGGCTAAAGGATCCGTTCAGCTGAACATAAAGCTCATGTCAGTGAATCCGCTCTTCCATTGTTCCCTGACATTTACCTGACTTTTAGAAAGTGAGCTGAGCTGCTGGAGGTGCTGCTGGATATTATTCCACCATCTCACCATATTTCCAGTGACCTGTTCACACACTTGTTTATCATCCTCCCATGTGCTAACCTAAAACACAAAGGGCAAATCCTTACCAACAAAATAAAATTCTCTTTTTAGGTCACACAGTTTCACAGCAGTAGGGAGCATTTGCACAAGAGGCTTTCTTGAGTTCAAAAGGGCGCCAGGAAGGCAATAGTAAGTCCGTTTCCAAAAAAAAAAAAAAAAACTGTGACTTTTTTATTTGATCTTTTTTTTTCTTGCAATTCTGAGTTTATATCTCACAATTTTGACTTTTTCTTGCAATTTTGAGAAAAATGTCTGAGTTGTGAGATATAAACTCAGAATTGCGAGATGTTAATTAACTATAATTCAAAATAGCAAGATATAAACTCTTATTTCAGAGAAGAAAAGTGAGAATTGTGACATAAAAAGTTGCAATTACCTTTTTTATTTTGTGGCGGAAACAAAAAAGCAAAAACAATTGAGAGATATAAACCCAGAATTTCTGAGAAAAAAAGTCGAATTATGAAACGTAAATTGGGAATTGTGAGAAAAAAAGTCTGAATTCAGAGTTTATATCTGGCATTTCTGCCACTTTTAACAGAATTGTGAGTTTAACTTTATATCTCACAATTTGGTGTTTCAGTTTTGTAACTTTTTCTCAAAACTACAAGAAACAAAGTCTAATTGTGAGATATAAACTCAAACTCAATTCTGAGAAAAAAGTCAGAAAATAGTCGCAATTATCTTTTTATTTCATGGTGGAAATGGGCGTGCATATTAGAAAGCAGTCTCAAAATCTTTAATCTCAAAATCTCAAAAATCTTCAAAATGCAGCGCTCATGGCACAAGACTGTAAAAATGCATTGGTGTTCAAAACTTTGAAGCCTGTTGAATGATGCAATAGAAATAATGAAATAATGACTATAATGTCTTAAATTGTAATTGCAGGCGGCATACAAAAACAAACTTGCGCGCCACCAGTCTTATTCACAAGCAAATGCCTCTTATGAGCAGTTCTTTTTTAGGGTTATGGGTTTGAATCATACTGAGACATTGCCCTGCATAATTTACAGCATTAGCAGAGATATATTTTTTTCATATAAATAAAATATACAAATTCTGGATAAGAAATGTGGATATTATTGCCAACGCTTAGAACTGAATGTTTCAAACTGTAAGATTCGGTCTCTCATCATCACTCTTACTCAGTGGTGTATAAAGTACCTGAAAGCCATACTCAAGTAAAAGTACAGATATCTTACCAGAAAATGACTTTGGTAGAAGTTGAGGTCACCGTTTAGAATATTACTTGAGTAAAAGTCTTAAAGTATGTGATATTTATTGTACTTAAGTACGAAAAGTATTTTTTTTTAATCTTAAACATACTTAAGTATTGAAAGTAAAAGTACAAGTAAATGCAAAAATGGAAAAGAAGCAAATAAATTGGCCTAAATGGTCATATACACAGCTTGAGTAGCAAGATTGTGTTCAATTTAAAATTATATATATATATATAAAAAGCATACAGAAGCATTTTTGCCCTCTACAATTTAGAATGCCTGGAACTTTGAGTTTTAATAGACCAATCAACGTGCGTGCACTCTGTGTGTGATTTGGTGATATAGCCAACTTGATAATGTCAGATCGCACATCATTACAACAACACTTACCATATTATCGCAAACGATGCTGTATCACACACCCCAGACTCGACTTGAGTGGAAAATGAATCATCCGCGGTTTTTTTGCACATGAGCAAGGGTGTTTTTAGGAGTCTAACTTGCAAATGCCAGACCACTGATTCGTCAAACCTGCTTTCCTGCAGTCCGTGTTCTTCTGACTTCTGACTATTTTGTAGTAAGTAACGAATATGCTTCGGGGAAATGTATCGGAGTAAAATTATAGATTTTAATTAGGAAATGTAGTGGAGTAAAAGTTGGCTGAAATATAAAAACTCAAATAGCCTAAAGTATAGATACTCCCAAAAAATAATTAACCTAAGTATTGTAACTAAGTATTATTACTTCGTTACATTACACCACTGCTCTTACTCATAGCTTGTTGTCAGTTTAATATTGTGATCTTCAGTTGTTCCACATAAATCAGCCTCCTACTCCAGTGTTGCAAATGTGGCACAGTTCTTGTCGTTTTGTGAGTATGGAGGAGTGTGTAATGTGCTTTTAATTTAACGGGAGGTTAGTGGAGCAGAGCTGTCAGTCGGGTGGAGCAGAGCACTGTGGGACAGACACGCTCAAAGATTTAGCAGCACATCATGTCACAGTTGACAAGAGAACAGGCATTCTTTAATCCTTTCACAGAGCAGGGAGAAAAACGAAAGGTGAGAAACTAGGAAACAATGAGTGTGCTGGTAAGTGCTCACGGCTCTATCAGAGAGAGAAGGAGAAGGCAGGTAACATTAGTAGTTCCCTCAAAAAGTGAAAATTACATCATTTACTTGCTTACATTTACAGCATGTTCACACCAAGAAAGATGACTATAACGATAACTAGAATCCACACCAACGCATGATAATATGGATAAAAATCCATGGGTTACATTTTTTTTTTTTCACTTCACAGAATAAAAAAGGTAATTGTGACTTTTTATTTCAAAATTCAGACTTTTTTTCTCAGGGTTATTTTCGTGCCACGCAATAAAAATAAAAAAGGTAATTTCAACTTTTTAGCTCACAATTTTGACTCTCACAATTTCGAGTTAACATCAGAATTTCAAGGAAAAAAACTGAATTGTGAGATATCAATTCAGAATTGTGAGTAAAAAAGACTGAATTGTAACATACATTCATTGTAAGCGCATGCAGCAGTTATGGTGTCTGCCGCTTTAAATGCTCGAGCTCTTTAAAGCAAGTTGGATTCTGACTGCCTGTCAATATTTTCATTGTTCATCAGCTGGAAAAAATCCTTCTGAAAGTGATTCCAACAATATACCCCTGTTTGATTATTGTTATAGTTGTGGTGTGGACTTCACTGTTCTCATAGAATTTGCAAGATTATTAAAACATAATAACGTCATAATTATCGCCCTTGGTGTGAACAGGCCTACTCAATTTAGCTAGGTTTCTGCTACACAAGGTATTCCACGTTAAGTATTTCATTTAAATTTCAAATGCCAATTTTAATTGAAGAGATTTCAAACATGTGAACCACTGTCCACAACTGAATTTAGCTCAGTTGAAGCTTTGTGAACACCAGAAGCTCCAGTCAGAATATAAATCTGTCCAAGTCCAGAATATCATAAGACTCAGATAGTGTTGAGCTTAAAACACAGAGGAGCTAATGGATGACGGCCCAAGCGATTAGTCAACAGAAGAGACAGACGGCTGCACGTGAGTACCGAGCAACGAAATCACCTAGCCACTTAAGTATAATTTTTATCTTCCCTGTACACACTCTCCTTCTCTGTCCTCTCTTTTCCACCTCTATCATGTGTTTCCAACACTCTCACAACGCTCTAAGGTCACACGCAGATGCCAACGCAATGTTGCTAACCTGCATCCTATCTCTACATCCTCTACTGCACCTCTTTCTTTCTCTGTGAGTCTCTGGAATTGTCAGTTAGCTGTCAACAAAGCAGACTTCATTTCTGCTTTTTCTTTAAACTCCACACTTAGCATCTTGGCCTTGACTGAGACCTGGATTCATCCAGAAGACTCAGCAACCCCAGCTGCTCTCTCTAACAATTTCTCTTTCTCTCATAGCC